CACCTGATACACAAAGAGGAGGAAACACAATGAGAGTAGGACAAAGGCACGATGAAAGGGAGCTGATACGAGAAAATATTAATGCAAGCCAAACTGTAGTATAGAATTCAGTAAAGGGGTCATAAGTAAATTGTTGAAAATAATCCATTTGGAAAACTCTGATTTACTCAAAAGATCAAGGAAAATTGAAGCATATAAAAATTTCTAGACACAGAATTTACCACCTGGAGAAACCACATTGATACCTGCAGAAGCAATGGAAATATATTTTCTAAGTTTAATCCAAGTCTGTGTGAATGAAATGAGCAGATCCAGAGGGTCTGAAGGTAGGAAGGTAGGACACAGAGCCAGGATGGAAAACTCCGTTATGCTGAGTGTGGTACCAAACTCTGTAACCTACCAAGAGGAGTAAAATTGGTTTCCCCCAAAATGTACACTCTGTGGTAAGGTAAATGTTCATTCTCTGATCTAAACAACGGCTGCCAGTGTTGGATTCCATCCATGAGAAAAGATGTGTTCTGGTCCTGTGGGACTAGGCTGGCCTTTCAGGGCTTGAAGAATACCTTCTCTCATCACATCTTTGGAAGTGGACGTGCAGCTAGCTCATGTCAAGCTGCCACCATTGGCATTCAGCAACGTGGTCCCAGAGAGTGCTTGGTGACTGTGAAACTGTTCTGCATTTGTGCTGCCTATAAGTGGCCACTTGCCCTTGTGTAGCCCATGAGCACTTGACATGTGGTTAATGTGAATGGAGAAAAATGAATTTTTAATTGTACTTGATTTTAATTAACCTACGCTTAAACAGCTACATGAGGCAAGTGGCTACCATATTGGAGTACCATTCTAGAACGAGACGGTCCTTGGAGCCACTACTCTCTTTTAAGTACTCAAAAGTAGCTCGCACAGCTCCCATTCTGCAAAAACTCACTCTTCCTGCCAGTATCTGAATGCCAAGGAGCACACAGCAGTATCTTAGCAGTTGTTTCAGTTGTCAAAAGAAAAAAAATTCTGCTTCTGGGCAGACATCTGACTGTGCAACCGTTGCAGAGAGACAATTTAGTTCAGAATTATGTGCCACCCTGACTCTACCTGGCAGGTGCCTTCTGTGCTGGCTTTTCTATCTGCAAACTTGAGAGAGATGACAGGGTTTTAAATGATTAACTCCTCTGGGCCACATTACTTAATTATACAGTACATCCAGGGATACGCACATGGGTCTTTTATGGTAAATGATATGACGGTCTTAAAAACTCATTAATATGTCATTAACCAAGCAGACATTTACTAATTAAACAATTAGCCCCTCTGTTCTTTTCCTTTGTTCCTCCCAGAGATGCTTGGTTACCCAGATCCCCAATTTAGCAGAAGGTCCCCCCTTCTTTCCCCAAGAAAATCGCTCATAAAGCAAACTCTGAGACTAAATGATTGCACCACATTTTTTCAACTTGGCTACAAAGAAAATCAAATCTGATTTCCATAGTATAAATGAATGTGGGTGTTGGTCTAGTTTAAATAAATCATCCTTACCTATAGAACAATTCCAGATATATGCAAACAGCATCCACCACAACTGGCATAAACATGGACTATAACAAAAATAGATATGCCAGTTAAATAAATATGAATGGACAAGATTAATGATTTGAGATGTGTTATGATTCATCATACAAAGGCAATGCCAAAGAAATGTGCAGTGTTCTTAACTTTGGCTCTCAGAAGATTTTTAATGTCTATCATGCCTTCTTCTAAATTTAGTTTAATCATATTTATTGTTTTGAAACTATACTAAAGTGCAGTACAAAATCAATTATCTAACTTGTATATCAAAATAAAGCACAACAAGTGTCTTTTAGAACAAATGTCTTGGGTATATTTTTAAAAGGAGATTTAAAATAGTTTTACATTAAGAGTATTCATTTCAGAAAACATTCAAGGGAAATAAACACAAGCCTATGGCTTTCAGCCACATTCTGCTTACATGTTTTATGTCCCGTCCAACAATGTGAGCAACCTTTACAAATCTCCTGCTGACCTAGAGTACTAGCCATTTATAAAAGGTCATTCGGATGGTTCAAATGATGGTAAGAGGACACAATAGAAATCAGAGAACTAATCTCTTTGATGGAAGTGCGAAGGCTGTGTTTCCTGTCTTTTTTTCTATTGATTTCTCTTTCTGTTTCCCTGGTAGGCAATGAAGCTAAGTGTACATTATCACAGGGCTGTTTGTTATACTAACAACTATCTGGGTGATCACATCATAGAGTGAACACTTAACTCAAAAAAACATTACAATAAAGTATACACTGCCATCAACCCCACTCAAAGTGTTTTTTATTTCCCTTGATTCCAACATGCTTATACCATCTTTCTTGGCATTTTGTGCAGCAGTTCTGGAAGCTCTGACTAGTGAGCATCTTAATGATGTATGATCAAAACTATGATGGATGCTTCTTCCAACTGTCATGTTAAAGAAAAGTAGGTTGAAAAACATTATGATGTGTTCCCAACCACTTCACTCATGGAATCTACAGCCGTGCAACTTCTGGATCTTCCCCAAAGCCAAAATGACCATGACATGTAAAGGTTTTTTACTCAATTCAGGATATTGAACTAGTTAAAGACACTCATGAAAGAGGACCTCCTGAATGCTGCAGAAAGTGGCAAGGATGATGGAATAAGTGTGTTCAAAGTAAAAGAGAGTAATTGAATGAGGAACGATGGCACTGTGTCTTTTACTGTAGCTGTTTTTTTTTTTAAGTGAAGCATTCATCACATTTTTTGATCACTTCTACTGTGTTTAACTTGGAAGCTCAAAAGATCCAATTTTGTGCTGGAAAAGCAAATCAATTATCTCTTCTACAACTTGGATACAGAATGGATCCAAAGAAATATTCAACATTATACCCTAGGTCACAGTAGCACAGAGAAAGCCCACTCTAAGCAGACCACATTGCTTCCCAAACTATGTCATGAGTCACAGGGGAAGGGAACAAAATGTAAACCTCAGTACCCTTCCCGACACGCGTTCCTGTAAGTCTGGAGAGACAGTGCAAGGTGGAGAAGTCAGGTGGAAATCAGAAAGCATATTCTTTCCAGATCCCTTCTGGTAAACTGTCCCAGGAAGTCTAGGAAAACAGGGACATGGATTGGTCACTCTATTTATAGGCTGGCATTTCTTCTTCAATTCTACATAAACACTGACTTTCATGTTCATTGATATTTTTGATTTTGAATATCTTTTGTAATGTAAATTTCTCAAAATTGTGTAAGCTTTGGGACCATAAAATCTGAATCTACTTGAACTAACTAATATGGTAATTACTTATATTGAGTAAGGAGCTCTAACTACTAGAAACCTCTCTAAAATGCTATGTGATTTTTCATAAATTTGAAGAATACTTATTGAATATGTGAGTGTTTAAGGACATTCTGCAGATAGAGTCACATTTTCTGACTTCCTCCTGGCTGAATAACTGTGGCAGATGCTGTTTGCAAGTAGAAAATGCTGGTCCAGGACTCAGAGAACCTGGTTCTCCCCACCTCTGGATTCCTAAGCAGCTGCATGCCTGGGGAGGGCTAATCTCGCCAGCCTCTACCATGCTTCCCATAAACAGAGGGAGGATTGAAGAGTGGACTAGATTCTTGGACTCAGAGCGAGGGTCAACGAAGTAAGTAAAAGATGCAGAACCTCAAGCCCCTGAAGCTCGCAGCCTCCTGCATCAGAGTCTACCTTTCAACAAAATCCCCAGGAAATTCACTTTCAGCTTGTAGTTTGAGAAGTCAAATACCAGAATGATGTCTTCTAAAACCCCATGCTGGCCTAAAACCCTAATGCTGCATGGAGAGAAAGATGCATGGAAACTAACATTTTTAGTTAAATTGTTCAATTTTACCTTCTTCTCACTCTCCTTTCATCTCTCACCACTCCTAAATTTCCCCATTTATTCGTAAGCCCAGTGATATTGTGCCTATCCTACTTATGCATTACTAGATTTATCTAATTTCTTAGAATAAACTCACTGGTGAATTTCAGAGTTGCTCAATCATTGTGATCTTTTGTGGGTTGTGGTATTTTGAATATGCTGTATCCTTCCTTGCAATTCATATGTTGAAATCTTACGGTATTGCAATCTGGGGCCTTCAGGGTGTGAAATCAGAGCCCTCATTAATGGCATCAGTGACCTTATAAATAGCCTGAAAGAGTTTTTCACTCCTTCTACTGTGTGTGGACGTAGCAAGAAGACACAATCCATGGACCAGAAAGAACCCTCATCTAACACCAAATTTGCTGTGACCTCAATCTCAAGCTTCCAGCCTCCAGACTGTTTGAAAGAAATATCTGCTGTTTATAAACAACCTCGCCTATGTTAGTCTGCTCTAGAAGCCTGAAAAATCTGACGGGGGTCCACTTCAAAGGATGTGAAGACTAATCAAATGAAAATTATACGCTGTCTTTAATTCACAATGATTTTGTATAAAAGCCAAAGTAGAGATGATAAATTTATTGGCATTTTCTCCTGTCCTTTGAAATTGTCCTCAATAGATAAATAGATGATAGATAGATAGATAGATAGATAGATAGATACATACATACATACATACATACATACATATATTACATCTAAAGATATTCATAGTAAATCAAAGTAAACAGCTGAGCATTAAAATATTTGAAGGCATGATCAAAATTTTCTGAAAATTGACACAGAACTTCCCAGTGACAAAGCTCCTTATAAATAGTAATTTAAACCCACAAGACTACTGGTGTATGTTTGGGTTAAAGATTTCTGATAGATGTGTAGACTATAAGTTTATAGGATATTTTTAAAATTACACCATAAGTTTGCACAAGATAGTACTCTTTGTGCAGCTAACAGGTACTGACCTGTATAGGTGGCTATCCTTGTATTACACACAAATACGCTTAGAGACAATTTAAGACCTCTAATCAGTGTATACTTCAAGAAACTTTGATCCCTAAGAAGGAAAATGGAAGTTACCAATAAACTTGGTTCTGACTTGCATTAGTCATGGATTCAGAGAATTGTGGGCTCAGGTTCCAGTAAATACCTGTAAAACAGGAGAAAAGCCATTCAACATTTCAACACTGGAAAACATTTGCGTGAGAAACTTTTTCATAAAGAGAAGATCAATCCCCCCTTCACTGACTGAAGACAAAATTAATTACCAGAGTTGGCAGCAGATAAATGATTCCAATGTACAGAATTGTGTAATTATAGCAGCTGCAGAGCTGGAAACCAGCTCCTAACTTTGAACCTCAACCCCAGCTTGACATTTCTCCCCACATCCAGTTCTTCCACCAGTCAGTATGTTGAAAGTTCCCTCATCTCACCTCCATAATTACATGTTGGGGTGCAGAAATAATCATGGGCTCTGCTGCCTGCGTGAAACCTTATCATCCTCTAGTTTGCAAACGGTGTGCTATATCATCTTTGAAGTGTTGAAATATCTAGAGAGAAAATTTTATTAGGGAAAAGTACTGTAATGGCAACAAAAGTAATTTGCCACAACATGTCAAATTAACTACCTTATTAAGGATTGGACTCAGAGGCAAGTCCAGAAATGGACAAATATTTATGACCAATTTCTTAAATTTCACTGTAGATTCAGTAAACTCAAAGCACATAAGCTTCCCAATTCATTACAGCATTGCAATATTTACTCCTGAAAAACACTGGCTGGAAAATAAGAGGTTAAGAACTAAAGAAACACTTCAAGCAATTCTTTTTTTCCCTTGCCTTTCTAAACAGCAAGGGAGGTTGTCAGTTGGGCTCTGTAGCGATTTTGATTCTCTCTTTGAAGCCAAGAGGAAAGTTTTAATCTCATCTTTAATTTTAATCCTTTAAAATATGTAAGTGTTTTAGAAATGTACAAGTTGAATTTGGCAGATTTTACTGGTCGAAGTAAAGCAGTTTCTTTCAACTGTGCAGTAATAAATCAGTTCAAAGCTGGCTACCTAAACTATCTGAATAACTCAGCCACAAGCTGCAATCTACTGATTTTAAAACTTACCTTATCAAAACATGAGCAGAAGAGCAAAGTCCATGGTATAAACAATGCAAGTAACAAGGTAAACTCAAAGAAATACATTCACGCCTGAAAATCATTTTATAAGTTGTTTTGTTCTCCTGCAAGGAAAAAAAAATCATAACTTTGGGGAAATTTTTTCTGACTCAGTAGAAGTTTTACCTGCTCTGAAACATATATGTTAAATATTGTTTTTAAGGCTAAAATCGCTCATTCTTGAGGCACAGCTGTATACTCACTAACCTCACATACTCTATATCAATTAAGAGAAGTGCTGCTCAACAGTGTTATACTTGGTCTTGATAATGCTCTGCTAGTTCCTACTCACAAATGCATACACACACACATCTCCACATTTTACAGATGATAACATCCATGTTTATTATGCTCAAGAATTCTGTGGGTCAGAATTTCAAAAAGGATGTGTCCATGATGACTTGCTTCTATCAAGACATGTATGTAACAAATTTGGGAGACTCAACACTACAGGTGTGTTAGTCAGATTTTCAACACTGTAACAAAATACCTGAGATAATTCATTAAAAAGACAGAAAGTCATCTTGTCTCACAGTTTTAGAAGTTCCACTCCAGGATCCACTGGGTCATTGCTTTTGGGCCCAAAGCAAGGAAGCATATTTTGGTAGGAGCACAGGATAGAGCAAAACCACTCCCCTCGTGGTAGGGAGCAAAAGAGAGAGAGGAGGGAGCCAGCATCCTAAAGTTTCCTTCAAAGTCATGTCCCCAGTCAATGGAAGACTCAAAACTATGCCTCACTTCTTAAATATTCTTCCAAGTCCTTCCTAATAACACCTCTCTAAGGACCAATTGTTTTGCACATAGGTTTTAGGGAGACACCCTAGATCCAAACCATAGCAGCAAGCAACTAACTCTCTGGAGTAGTGTCATACAGAGGGTTGACTTACATGCACTTCTGGTGGCTGGAACCTCAGTTGGTATGGCGAACCAGAACCTTTGCTCTTGACCTTTTAACTGTTCTATTAGGTTTGCTTCCAACGTGATGACTGGATTTTCAGTAGACATCCCAAGAAACAGGAAATGGAAGCTGCCAGTGTTTTAAAACTTGAATCCATATCCTGGCATGACCTTACTTCAGCGATAGGTCAAGCAGCCCAGAGGCCAGTTCAAGACGAAACATGTTACATTTTTCAACTCATGGCAAGTCAAGAATTTGGGGATTGTCACGGTATACTCAAGCCCTCATCAAAGACATAATTGTCAGTATTTACTTTATATTTCTTCTGCGCATTCCAATTAATTTGTCTCTCCAATGCTTGCTTAAGGTTTCATTGCCTGTGACATTCTTCTATAAGATGCAAATACATAGTGAATATTTAAATTTTAAAAACATCACATAGAAGATAGACCACTATTTATCCGACTAAAATACTCCATCTTTGAGCTATCTCAACATTCTTACCACTTTATGAAGCACTTCTAGACGTCCTCTTCCTTATATATCTTTATGAGTAATGATAAAAAAATACGGTGACTACTGCAGCTGAGTGCCACCCAACAGAAAGACAGGGATGTAAAACATAAGCGTGTGTCTTCAACAACTTATGCATCATATCTGGAACAGTGAGAATTCCGGCTTTTCTCCAGAGTCAAGATGACTGTGAAAGGTAAACATTTTTAATTCATCAAGGACACAGAGATAATCGCAGTGGCAGAGCTAAACACAGCAAAGTAAACTTCCAAAACTGCTTCAGAAAGGAACGAGATAGGACACTGTGATTGTATTTCATGTAAGAGGAAGCATTTTGAGAGAAATTAATGGTATTATGGTCTTTTGCTGTAATTTTTTACTGTAAAGATGCACCATATGCTGCAGCCACACTTTGTATGTTCCTACCCTGTATTCCTCCCTGTCTTCCTTATTTATTTTCCCCCAGTTTCCAATCCGTCACCAAGCCCCCAAGTCCTCTGCCCTCACCTAACAGGTGCCGGTTGTTCCGCCTGGTGGTGGATGTGCCCCTGAATGAGAGGGAGAAAGAAGGGCCACATTGAAGTGTTAACCTGGAGGAGAACAACATGGAAGAACTTTCCTTGCCACTGAGATCTCACAAAATAAATCATCCCAAAGACTTCAGAAAAGAAACCAGTACAAATCTGTTGCATCTTTTCATGTTCATTAATCATAAACCTAAGTGCTAACGGGTCCAAATAAATTGCCACCAGTTTTCATGTACTTTGAACTTTTATGACAACCCCAAAGAAATAGCAGTGAAAGATAAAAATATGTGACTGCCAGAGATTTTCAAGTGAAACTTTCCACAGAACCAAATAGAATATGCTCAAAAAGTTTGCTAACTGTAAGTAATATGCATTTTTTAAAAGAAAATGTGTGACATTTATGTACCATCCTACTAATCAGTGAGGGCAACAAGACTACATTTTTTTTTTTTTTTTTTTTTGGCCTTTTCATTTTTACCGGTACCAGGGATCGAACTCATGACTGCCTGCTTGCAAGGCAGGCACTTATGCCACTGAGCTAAATCCCCAGCCCCTACAAGACTACATTTTAGAAATGAATTTCACAATTAAAAATGATAGACCAGCTGCATCAGCATTTCTGATGATGGTTTTTATGAGTGTTTTTGCTTTGTTTCAATTTGGAGATTATTCTTATTGCACAATATCAAGAAAATGTTTGCAACTGTTGAGAAGCATGTATGTAAGATTTTAAAGCTGATTTATTCTGCATTATGTAACATAATCCCCATTAATACAGGTTTTATAATCTAGATTTAAACTGCTTTTTCCATTTTTTCTTGGATTCCAGCCTGATATTACTTTGAAGTCTGAAACATACAGATGACTAAAGAAGCAGCTAGATTTTGCATGGATTTATTTTGAGCCTATGGACAAGATGTAGGGTAAGACTAAGATTTAAGGAATTTCTCAGTAACATCTGAGATTTTATGATTACCTATCTGTGAAGTTTGTAAAGTACAAGAAAGTGAATCATTGCAACAAGATCTGTTATAATTTTTGAAAAAATAGAAATGAGATGTGGAAATTATTCTGCAGGGCTAACTGAGCAAGATAGAACCCAAAAGTCCATAGCCAGAATGAGAGCCCTAAATTGTGAAAATTTAAAAAAATCCTTAAAACACTGCAAATAAAAATCAATTTTAACCAGTATTTCTCAGAAATCTGGCACCTTGAGAATGGAGTTCTTTGTGGATGGAAAGAAAAGCTTAGAGACAGATGAACTTGGTCTACTTAGAGGTCTCCTTATTGATGCATCAGCAAATGTGAGAACCAGAGGGTCTGGTTCTTACCAAGTTTTAAAACTTCAGTCGAATCCAGAAGGAGATACTTTTGGGGATAAATACAAATACATTGATTCAGAATTCAACTATGCCACAGAAACATCATGTTTGGAAAGGCCTGGGAGTAGATAAATACCAGCATTTGGAATTAGACATGGCCTCCAAGTTTGAAAGCCTCTGCTCTGTGGTGGACCAGCATTGTTTCCTAGATAAAAGCCATTAAATGTTAAGTGATCTCCAAGATGTGTAGGACAGGAAGCTTATTCTGTTACTATCTCAGAAAATGAGAGGAGGACAGCATACAGAATCAGGAGGCCCACATCTTCATATTAAAACATTCAGACATCATCATAAACAAGATTGTGTTGTAGATAGATGTGGGAGAAAGAGGATGTAAAGCAAACTTCTGGAAGCTTTTCGCTGTATTCTTTCCTTAGTATTGATGTTAATGTCTCCACATCTTTCAGATAATATCTTTCTGAAGGTTCCAAGGTTTCAGATGAGTCCTTCAGATGTACTCTGCTATTTACTAGTATTTAGTATTTCGTTGGTCTCATTTATCCCATTGCTTATACTTATTAGGCATCTTAAAATCAACATGGTAAGAAGCACTACAGTGGTAACTCCTTCTCTGAGATCAGAGCTCCAAGAGATGAAATCCCACTGGGTAAGGATAAATAAGTTCCTTACATCAGACTGAAGACATCTACTTCAATGTAATATTTAAAGGATGAGCTACACATTTGCTTCTAGATAATATGGTGCTTCACTAGTAGAACCATTATGAGAGACTCTAGCTGTGAGTGTGACAACCCCAGGCTGTCCAAAATTAGTAAATGTGAAAGACACTGGCACATCTCTTTTCTATATGATGAATTTGCGAGTGCATTGGCCATACCCACTGTAAATATCAACAATTCAAGTGATAACACATGAAGAAACATAGTCACAACAAAACTGTGCAGTGAATTCTCATCAGCATGCTATTGGTGGCTGTGGGATAACACTGAGGCTAAAGCAGTGGTTAATAACCAGGAAAACTGAAAAAATAACTAGTAGCTGCTAAAGAAGCACGGAAAATGAACACTACACATGGTAACCTTTACCACGTTTAGTAGAAACACAGATACAAGGATGAAAAATTCTGGATATTCTTTCCTGAAAAATGTATATATTTGCAGCTTTGGGAATTGCTACCTGCATTAAAATCTCTCTGATAGTGCTTTTATTGACTACTTTTATAAAATTTTATGTTTGCATTTTCTCATCTCATTCTACCTCATTATACAAAGTTAATTCTTGAGAAATGTACATTAAATCTAATTTTAAGTTTAAAGTTAGTTACTCGGGCTGGGGATTTAGCTCAGCAGCATAAGCAACTGCCTTGTAAGCAGGCGGTTGTGAGTTCGATCCCCAGTACCAGAAAAATAAATAAATAAATAAAGTTAGTTACTCATTCTTCCCATAAGTTCTACATATGTTTATATAGCTCTATGTAAATTTAATGTAGCATTCTTTTTATTTTTTGCAAGTAAATCTTTGCATTACATAATGATCACAGTCATCAGAGGAGTGGGTACATGTAAATAACACCTCTTCATTCTGTTTCTTCCTCTTCCTCTGCCCCCTGCTCCTTCCCATTTACAAAAGATCTCTGTCCATGTTTCCTACTACCTATCTTTTATTTTGCTTTTTAATTTAATTATACTTTGGATTTCTCATATAAGAAAACCCATCAGACATTTAAGCGTGGGTGTTTATTTATTTAATTTAGCATTATGGTCTCAAGGAGCAAATATTTTCCAAAAAA